TTTACTACACAAGAACATAACAACTTTACAAACATTTTTCTTTGGGAATGAACCTATCTACTGATAAACAACAAGCCTGTAAAACAGCATGCAGATATGTGGGTCATGTGTTGCATAATACTGATAGTGCAGCATGATCCTCATCCAGTACAGATAAAGTAGAAGTCCTTATTATATTGCCATTCCCATGGGTTATTGAGAGTTTAGGTCTGTTCTTGGAGTTCATAGTTGCTGCCACAGATTAGAGTGGAATTACACTGCAAAGCACTGACTGTTGTCATCAGAAGTTACCAATCTAGTAAGAGGAAATCTACAGACAAGGGGAAGAAAAGTTGTAATTGGAATTACATCATCTTACCAGCAGCTTGGGTGGTGGCCGCATCTTCCCATTGACCTGTGTTGTCTCATACCAGAAGATGAAGCTAAATATGTGATGTATCATAAATACCTAGCTCAATTGAGAAAGCCTTCTTCCTTTTAACTCTTGCACAACTCATACACACTTTGAAGTGAATATTATCCATCCATCTAACTTGTATACTACAGAAATAAATAGTAAGTAGTCTTTCCTCTTAACTGCTGATCTTATACTCTTTCTCTGAAGGACTCTTTCCAGAGTGACAGGACATATTTTTCTTTTCAGTGTAAGAGTTAGCCTCTGTTTTAGACTCAGCAGGATACAGAGCTGTCAAGTGACAAATGTAAGCTATCTATAATGTGCAAACATTTGTTTTGTTTTTCCTTACAAAGGTAAATGCCTCGAGTGTGCAATAATTTATGTCTTGGACACATACTTTAGTATCCTTAAACTCTTTTTAGTAAACATTATGCAAGCCTATACTATGTGATGGGATGGAGTTATGAGATCTTCAAGCTAGTGCACACTTGATACTGCAAACCCGTATGGCAGTGGAATACTGTGCAGATATACCAGCACACACCCTGGACCAATACAAATGCATTCTCTGGGACATAGCACTTGCAATGATGTGGCTTTCTGGTTTGAGCAAGTTTGTGCGGATGCAGCTAATCATGCATTGCATTTTCAGTTCTGACACTGACTTGTGCTGGATCAGCAGGTTGTCTCACCTCCCCTCCCTTGGTTCTACATACATAAACTTCCAAAAACTTACCTAAATGTGATGCTGCAATCCAAGAAAATGACAGTTTTTGAGTTACTTTTATTAACTTGACTGAATCTTGATGACACGCTGGGTACTGGAAGTATCAGGAAAATTCTGAAGGTGCAGTTCCCACAAACCCATACAATCATCACAGACATAAACACCAGTGAGAGCTAAAGAAAGAGGTTCCCTCATCAAAATAAAGATGAAAATGAAGAATTTTCATTTCACCTTTTGGACGTCTTTAATTGACATGGGTGGTCTATCCAGGGCGGATTAAGGCTCAGATGTTGCTGACTCCATAAAAAAGAAACAAATATTCTTCAAACTCCTCGCTTTTAAAGGAATCATTTCCCATTTACTCATCTCAGGTGGTTGCCTTTGTAGATTTAGCAGGAAAGCATTTCATTGCTCTTACCGTTGCATATCACCTATCTTGAGATGTGGTCAGATGGATTTTCAAAGGTATGAGAGGCAGAACGTGGTGAAGCATCATTACTGAAAAAACATGATCTTACCCAGAGGTTACAAAAATTGAAGCATGTGATTGTTGCTGATGTAAAGGTCACGTCCTAACCTCTTCCTTTGGTTACATGATGGGTTTTTTTCTCCACTGCTTGCTTTTCCTTTCTCTCCCTTTTTTCTTTCATTCCCCTCCTTCCTCTCCTTTTCTTAGACCTCACTTTCCACTCTCTGATTTTTTATTCAAACACTCATTACACTCTCTGATGCTTATCTTGGTGTTTAGTCACAGTTGCATGACTTCCCTTTGGTGCTATCAGTGTAAGTAATTTCCCTCTCTCCCAGCAATTCTGTGTGGGAATAAACATGATCATTAACCATCTTACAGCTCACAGCCTTCGAGATAAAGCCACTGGCTAATAGAATGGTGATGGTAACAACTGCAGCAGTTTTCCAGCATTATTAATAGAGCAGATGAACTTCTTGACTTGTCCTTAATTTATGAAGCATTGTCTTCGCATTTCATATGAGGAAAGATTATAACATCTTTACCTGCTTTGGTCTGCATTTTAATAATAATTTCTACTCCAGACATGCTAAAAATATTTTGGTGAATTCGATGCTGGTGAGAATACAGGATTAAATTACATGTGTCCTCCTACACAACTGACTTTAGTGAACGTTAGATATGAATGGAGACTCCTACTGCTCTGAACGGGTTTTAGACCACTCCTATATGCAAAGAGTCCACACCAATTGCCATAATGCCAAATTCTAGCATTTTGCCCCCTACTTATATTGCTCACACACTATTTACAGGTAGCACCACTGTAAGTCAGAAGGTAACTTAATTTTTACGCTGTGTTCAATCCATAGCACACCTGTTGAGTTGTGCAATTGATGATTAGCAACCCTTCTGAAGGCAAAGTCTATGGGTCTGATTGATTACAATCACAACCAAACTCACCACCTTGTCCTTCAGTACTGCTGTAGACCTCACCTATGAAGGAATGATTTGACAGGCAAAGTCACAGCTTTTCCTGCTGAGAACTTGCCAGAAGAACTCTGTTTGAGTCACAATGAAGCGGTTTGCAATTAAATGTAACCTACAGTTCTGCTTTACATACAAAGTGTTTCCAGTTTTGTAACTGGAAGCCAGAGTGTTATGTCCAGTTAGAATACATTTTTACTTTCTCATCTTTCAGGTGAGTTGAAGTTCAGTTGAAGCTAACCCTCATGGAACATAGTGTCTTTTTGGAGGCAACAAAATTACAGATAAAGAGGTGTGTGTGTACTGGCAGTGTGCTTAGGGAGCTTGCCTCCAGAGCATAGTTAGGGTTATAAGATGTCCCCCGTCTGAGTTCCCCCTGACAGGCAGCGAGCTGGAAGCAGAGGAAAATGTTATGCTTCTGAGCACTCCCTATTCCACATGATCACAAAACTTTTGGTCAAGAAACAAACCCCCGCTGCAATGCAGATAGATGCTGGAAACCGACTGGTACCATGCAAAATGCTGTCTGCAAATAAAAAGGAACTGGTTTGGCTACTATTACTTTTTATCTCAGTTGACACTCTCCTCCTTGTGCCCACAGCTAACCCACTGGCACTGCACATCTGTCAGCTCTCACACATTCCCAGCTTTGGACCCACCACATAAGAATCCAGAAAGCCTCTGGGAAATGGGAGAAACCAGTGGAGCCACTGAGAGCTTTCTTCCATTTGAGTCAATGTTTTACCTGTATTTAGTATGTTGATTGTCAGAACAGCAGGATGTTGTGAAAGAATCTACACAACAAATGGAAGAAAGCTATGTAGTAAAATTGTATTTTCAGTTACTTATTTTAAAAAATAAGAATCTTATCTAATTGCACTGTCTACTTGCTTGCATTTCAGTCAAAAATCTAACACCTTCATCAGTGACACCTTCAGCTCCTTCTGCTTCTCCTCTTTTACCCAGTTTACTTTGGGATTTGTATAGTAAAAAAACCTCAAACTTCAAAATCTTCAGTTGTCCTGTTTTACTGCATGGAGCCATAATACTCTATGGCAATATTGAAAATTACTGCTAGGTGTTTACAACAATTATTACTTTCTTTCAGTTTGAAATGAAGTACTTCTGAGGCATTGTTTAAGATCTGAAGGGAAAAAGGCATCTTGCAACATCCCCGTCAATCTAGATTTTTTTCATGATTTCACAGGGTTCCAACAGAGGAGACTCCTAAGCCTTCTAGCCTGCTGAATATTTTTTTTTCTGTTAGATAACAGAATATCCCTTACAACTGATAAAGAGGACAGATACATGTATTATATGAATTAGTCTATATATACCATGTTGACAACATAAAAAACACTTAAAATCAAATCTCTGAAAAGGCAAATAATTTCAGGATTATTTATAGAAAATTAATTTTCTCCTGACAGAAATAATACCTTACTTGATAAAGAAGAGCTGTAAAAGGAAACCAAATCACTGTCACACATTCTTTATCCCTTTGACCGACTAACTCAAAATTAATTTCTGGCAGAGAAACCCTCTGTGGCACAGTGGATTATTCGCCTTCCTTCTTTATGGTCTGTGGTACGAAAGCACACTCAAAAGCAAGGGACACCGTCATGGTGCTGTTGTGCTCCCGTGGGTGCTGGTTGCAGAGTAACCTCTTGGGGACAGTTGCAAGCTGGGTGTATCATTCCTGGGTCAAGCCATCTTGAAGCGATCAGGAAAAGGTGAATGTGGAACCCACGCTCTGAAGAAGCAGCATACGGTTCTTTACTGCTGGACTACGTTACAGATGATTGCAGTGTGACGGGTTATATTTATTCATACAAAAAAAATAAGCCTCTTTTTTATCTGATGGAGTGCAAAAAAATTTTTCTTCTTAAGGAAGGAAAAATGGTAGAAATACCGATATCTCATTAGTCCTATCCGTGGACATGTATGTTTTGGATAGTTGAGCTGCCAGAGGTAGTGTAATGCCTTGGCCCTCCACACTGGAATTGCTAAGGGTGGAATTCAGGCGATATAAAAATGAAAGGCTGGGGAATTCCACCGCATGATGTTGCTCTGTAACTAGGAGAGATCTGTTTTACTCGCAGCAAACTGCAATGTCAGAGATGCTGCAGGAAACAAGCTGTGCTTGAGAATTATCTGGAGTTTGCCAGACAGATCAGCTACTGCATGCAGCTAAAATGTCCGCAACCCACGTACCCAACATTTTACGTTATGCTCTCCATCTTCACAATTATAGAAACCCAGATGGAGCGGCTATGTTTAGCAGAAAAGTGTAAACGTGTGGGAGTCCCTCCCCTTGGGGCTGTCATGGGAGAGCAATGGGCCCATCGGGACTGACAGGAGAAGCTCTCTGGGTCGCCTCGCAGATGAGGGGGGTCGCTGACCCCAGGCATACGAGACCCGTTATGGCGTGCTGGGGAAGAGCATTTGGGGATTGCACAAGACTTATTATGGGATGTTTAGGCGAAGGACAAAAGGTGGGGAAAGGAAGAGATCAAGGGGTTTTGGAGAAGGACCACTATGGGGCCCAGGACAAGGGGATGAGCGGGGCTGGCGACGCGCACACCGGTTTCTCGCCAGTGCCTTTCCCTGGCCCTGCCCTGCACCTCACCCCCGCGCTGTCTCTCGCCTTCGTCTGAAACCCCATTTCTAACTCCTTCCAAGAACGTGGGCACTGTGTGCGTGTGCGTCTGTAGGCTTCGGTGCCAGCAGCTGGAATTAGAGTGCAAGTCACGGGGACCTCCGTGCCCGGGCCGCCACCA